TCTCTCTCTCTCTCTCTCTCTCTCTCTCTCTCTCTCTCTCTCTCTCTCTCTCTCTCTCTCTCTCTCTCTCTCTCTCTCTCTCTCTCCCCCCCCAGCTACTCTCTCTTTCTCTATCACTTTTTTTTTTTTTTTAAACAAATCCCGTGGCGTCAGGGAGGAGTGATTATACGGGCATGCACTCCTACCTGACTTATCGGGGCTCCATTTTATTGGTGGGGAGCTGCACCTGCTGGAAACCGGGTCTAGCGTCCCATGAGAAACAATGAAGCACCGAGGTACAACACAAACTGGGAACCGGGCCCAACGTCCCTTCTGATCAGTGCTAGTGGGAAATCTGCAACTGAGTGTTGAGTCTTGTGCCTATTCGCCCTAAGAGGGCGCCAGATATACGTATCTTCCTAGCACTGAATCACACTTGTTCTTGAGAAAGGCTGACCCCAACATTCACAGACAATGCAAGAGATTTTTCAGATCATTCAAATGCATACCACAACCTGGGAACTAGGCAAAGGTTCGAGAGAGGGAAGGGATCAGGGAAATCCGATAGAGGTCTTAAGGGTACAGTAGGATCAACGTTGCTCCAGTCATTGGAGGCCAGGCTGTAGTTCCTTGGGATCTCCTCTTGGGCATTCTCTTTTATTCCTTCTTACTTCACTCGTACCAATCTCCCTCCCTGGTCCCCTCCAAACCAGTTCTGATTGAATGTTTTGATATGATGCAATATTTCTTTTTCTAGTGACAGAAATTGTAATTTTTCATTAAGGGACTCCCATTTGATAGTGATCTTTGTTTGGATTTGGTGCCTGATAGCATTAGTGAATTCAGGGTCATCTAGGCGAGCACCTTCCATTTCATGAGTACAACTTCGTAACTAGATCGCCCACATGATCGCTCGCCTTCCAATTGTGAATAGGTTCAGAGTGAAAGCATCTTCCTGGTTCGGATTCCCGGATTCCAGGAGGAGGTCCTTCCAATTTCAGGGCCAAGGGAGGGATGTTCCTAACTGGCTCCAAATCCTATCCCACCACCGCCATAGCCAAATTGAGTCTGGGCATTACAAGAAAATGTGTTATAAAGTTTTCAGCACGAGTTTGGATGGGAAGGCTGATTTGCAGAACTTACACCACGGAAGGGCTATTCCTTTTCGTTCCAACGATGTTCTATCGATGATCCAGCCGTTTGTAGGGAGACAACGATTGACAATTTGCCATTGCAACGACGCTACTAGATTTAATAGAGTGGAACCACTTAATAGAGTGCAATTCTTCTTTACTTATGTTTAGATGTCTCATCCAACGATTTTCTATTTTGTCTTTTAGGTTTATCTTAGGACGAAGCATCCTATAGGTAGACTTCATTGACAGGGTGTGAAGTGTCCTTACGTAAGAGTGCCCTGTACCATTTGAGGAGGACCAGATCCAGAAGACTAGATCTAAAGGGAGATGAGAGATGGGTGTGTTCGGCTTAAAAGCAAGCCAACTTTCCTTAATCATAAGGACCCTGATCATGAAAATTTTATTTGCTTTGACCCACCCCGTGTGCTCTTGTAATCTCGCCTTGAGGAAACCATCCTCCCCTAGATCAAAGATAGATATAAAAATATCCCCTATGTTGCGGACTTCAATTACATTTCTCACTATCCCTTGTTGATCGATGATGGATACCCAGTCATTTGGGATAAGCTTCGGTCCATTTATCAAGATTCTGACCCAGACTAAGGGAATTATATCAATTAATTGCTTTGGAGGTTCCTTTTGATGATGGCAATATCTTTATCTCTCCAGGAGGGTCGGCAGATCAATCCAGTCCCTGTTCTCAACGTTCCAGACGTCTCTAATACGTGTGACTCCTTTCTTAATCCATCATTTTCATGATGAGTCCGAACAGTTGGGGGTGCACCCTTGAGAATCCCTGATAAATGCATCGTTAAACAATGGTTGTTGGCAGACCTCTTCCCATCTCTCATGAGCTATCTTGTCTGGGAGAGGCAATTTCCTCCAATTTTTAATCAAGTTGATCCAAAATGGGTCCCTGACAATATCTCTCCTGGCTGCTTGTCGGTCGGACAGTTCCAG